GAGGGGGGAGGGGAGTGGGGAGGGGGAGGAAAAGAGTGAAGGGAGAGAGAGAGAGAGATTTCAGCACTCAAAAAGTATTTGAAAGCATTTTTCAACCTCCCCCCATCCTCCCTCCAGCACTGTGTTTTATGAGCCCAATTCTTTATCACTTCTCAGGGAAGAGGGGATCTAATTCCCTTCCCCTGCATGCCTTTCTTCTGATGAAGGGAATGCGATGAGATGATGCTGTGACTTCTCCCTCTCCCTCTCCCTCTCTCTCTCTCTCTCTCTCTGGACAGAGTGCCTTGGAGGGGCCACAGAGAGATGGCAGCGGCAGTGGAACACTGTCCAGGGCCCTGGCCGACACCAAGGGATGCAGAGGAATGGAGCCTGTTCACCTTTGGCCAAATGGTAAAATTCTGAGCAAAATGCACATTGCTGTTGATTCAACCCAATATCACCTAGAGCAGAGATAGCCGACTCACTAAACCCCACTAGAATGTGGTTTCGTGAGTGAAATAAGTGCTGTTAAGTGTGAGATTCCCTGCTAAGCGGCCGTGGCCACTGAACGGCTGGGGCGCCCTCGGTCCCAGGTCCTGTGATCCTCCTCACCAGCACCAGCGACGCTCTGGGCCTGTCCTGTGTTCCTGCTAATGCCGAAGCAGTTCTGGGAGCCTCCTCCATGGGTGTTCCTTACACTGTCTGGCTGCCTGGGCGTCCTGAACTGACTCCAGATTCTTACTGATCAGGGTCATTTTGACTTTTTGAGAAGTCGCGTGGTGCCAAGTCCAGTGAGTAAGGCAGATGAGGACTCACCATGCGTTAGTTACTGAGACAAAGTACCCAACGCCCAGAGTTAGAGGGGAAAGGTTTATTCAGCTCACCGTCCCAGTTTTTGTTTTTTTTTTTTTTGTACCGGGAATCGAACTCAGGTCCTTGCACTTGGGAGGCAGTCACCAGAACCAGTGAGCTAAATCCCCAGCCCAGTTCCCAGAGTTTTCGGTCTGTCCTCAGCTGGCTCCGGGGCAGGGTGGCGTGGCAGACAGGCGTTGCAGAGGAGACACAGTTCATGGTGCCTTCTTGGTAACAGAGGCAACGAGGGACCTTAACAGTCTTCTGCCTCTTTTATTTTATTCAGACCACCAGGATGAGGGTGGTGCCAAAGCAATCACTCACAGGTAGTGGTCCAGTAACTCTGGTTCACACAATCGGGATGGAGCTAGCTTGAAAAACCCTGCAGGCGGCTTTGGGGGGACATCTGGACCCAGCCACCGCACACTGTGGCGTCCCACAAGCCTGCCTTTCTGTCGGAGTGCGCTCAGCAGCGGCACCAACTAGTTTTGGTCATTCTGTGGACATTCCCAGGGGACTGTGCCAAATGGGCTGGGGCTGGGCCCTTCTGTCACTACCCTTGGGGCAAAACAGCGTCCAGTCTTGTCTCCGTTGTGCTCGGTGTGGTAACAGTTCAGCAAGCAGGCTTCTCTCTAGCAGCAGATGGTGGTGGTGGGAATAATGATATTGGTGGACACTGACAGTGGCGGTGACAACTTGGCTGTGACAGTGGTGATGGGACGATGGTGGGGATGACAGGGGTGGCAACAATGGCCAGGGTGGTGCTGCTGCTGCCTCTGCTGGTCGTGATGGTGGTGATGATGATGGTGGGGGGATGAGGGGAAGAAGGGATGACAAAAGTTTAGGCACTTCAGTGAGCCAGGCCTCTAAACTGTTGTCATATATTAATTAGTCCTCAGAAAGCCTTTTAAGAAGTAGGTAACAGCCAGGTGTGGTGGCGCATACCTGTAATCCGAGCACTCGGGAGGCTGAGGCAGGAGGATCTCTGTGAGTTCGAGACCAGCCTGGGCTATACAGTGAGTTTCAGGTCACTCTCAACTACATAGTGAGACCCTATCTCAAAAACAAAAGAAAACAAACAAACAAAAAGAAGAAGGCAACAGTATCAGCTCCATGTCACTGGTGAGGAAACAGATGTAAAGTGAGTAACTTGTCAACATCCCTGTCTGAGTCACCTTCTGTTGCCGGGACAGAATTCCGGGCATACACAATTTAAAGGAGGAGGACTGGGCTCCGTGCTTGGGAGGTTCCATTCCATGTTGGCTGGAAGCCAGGCAGAAACACCTGCGTCCAAGATGTAGTGGTGAAAACTACTCACCTCATGGCAGCCAGGAAGCAGGGAGCAGGGGGTGGACTAAAGCAGAAGGGGCCAGGGGCCAGCGAGAGCCCCAGGTCACATCCCTGTGACCCCACCCCCCGCACAGCCGGAAGTGAGCTCTACCCATCTCCTGGGCCAGGCAGAAGCATCACCACCCCGGCCTGGCGAGCGCCCAGCACTTTCTCGGGAGGGGGCGGCTTCAGACTTATGCAGCTGTCTCACTCTTGGTCAGGAACCTCCTGTAGCTCCCCATTCCTGAAAAGGCAGAGCAGGGTTTCTCAGCCTCCACTCTGCTGACTGCTGTCACTAGGATGCTTAGCGCAATCTTGGCTTCTGCCCATGGATTTCAGCAGCTTCTCCCCAGCTGTTTCCAGTCGCTGCCAAATATCCCCCAGAGAGTAAAACCACCCCTCAGATTGGAACCACTGCTGTATGGGCAGTGGGCTCAGCCCTCAAAAGAGTGACTTAACCTTAGGCCTCTGTGGGCCGACAGTGGGCTGCCCAGCATGCAGACCCTGCCTTCCTCTTCTCCTTTTCCACCTCTGGGATTCATCTGTAGCTCATACAGTGAGAAGCAGATGAAAATTGAACACGATCAGACTGGGATGGAGGTTAGAACTATAGAACAAGGAGAGTGGGGTGTGCTAGTGTGGGGGCCACTCGAAACAGGTCCTAAGGGCATCTGGGCAGAGAAAGATGCTGCACGGGAGGCAGGGAAGTGTTCCGATGGAAATAGAAGGGGCGTCTGATGTCTAAGGTGCAGGACATTCAGGGAAACTCACCAGATGCAGCGCAGGGTCATATTACAAAAGATACTGAACTCTGTCTTGGGAGGATGTGAGTCTTCAAAAGATCCCAAGCCAAGGATTAACAAGCTCAGGCTCAGATTTTACAATTCCTTCAGCAGCTGTATGGGTGGAAGGTTAACTGGAGGGAGAAACAGCTGTTGACCAATCAGACAGTGTCAGAATCATCTAAGTGAGAGATGAGCCCTCACAAAGGGCTCAGCAAGCGACAGAGGCTTCCAGGCATATGGAGAGGCAGCGTCCTGCTGTCTCACTGTGGGTAATGGTCGTCCATCCCAAAAGGGCCACAGCAGACGCGCATTTCTGGCCCACAGTAAGCGATTGATGATAGTCATTTCTGCTTCTCTGCTGTTCACACTGCTCCGGGGCTGGCTTGGGCTTCCTCCTCTCCTCAGCCTGCTGAGAACTCCTGCCCTCGAAGGCCTGTGCCTCCTAGTGGAGCCCTCCCGAGCTTGCTGGACCTGTTAGCCTCCCCGCTAGCCTGCAGTTCTGGGGACCAGGGGCAGGCAGACTGTGACTGCGCTGGTTTCTGGGTTAGACAGTGAGCTCTCTGAGGGCACTGACTCCGTCTGCCTTGTTCGTGTGTCCCTTGAGCCAGTATTTACGGACTACCCCTGGTGCCCGGCCCTGCACTAGACGCCGATGCACCTGTGGCCGTTGTCTTGCTCTGGCTGCCCTGCAGGAGAAGGTATGGGCCACACAGGGTGCTCTGACAGCAGCGGGCAAGCCAGTGTGTCCCCTGTGCTCCGGGGCCCACGTCCTGAGCAGAGCAGCCTGCTGGCTGCAGAGTCCACTCCTGGATCTCAGCCTCCGGCCCAGGTCAGTGCTGCTCATCTGGGGGAGGCCCTCCGCTGGTCCCCAGTCTTTCACTCAGCTCGCTGTGTCTGTGTCTTCTCCCGTTTCCCCCTTGGGACACTTGGACAAACCTGGGAATCGCATTCTTCCAGCCTGGACTCATCGCTGTGGCTTTTGTAGCCCAGAAACAGACCCTCAAGGTGCCTGGTGTCATAGAATCGATGGCCTCACTTAACCTGGAAATAAGCCTGCAAATAAGCATTTTACAGGTGAGGAAGTGGAGGCCCAGAGAGGTTGAGCTGTGTGTGTGTGTATGTGTGTGTGTGTGTGTGTGTGTGTGTGTGTGCGTGTGCGCGCGCACACGCACGCGCACGTGTTATTAGAATATAACCACACCCACCCATTAACTTTCCGGCACGTTAGAGAAAACTTTGCTAACCCCTCATAAACTATGCATCGGCCATTTGCTAGCAGCATACCATTCTATTGTACTGGGGCTATAGTTTGGATCTGAAATGGCCTCAGAGGTTCATATGCTACAGGCTTGGTGCTATTGGGAGTGGGTGTGGAGCCTTTAAGAGGTGGGGCCTAGAGGGAGGAAGTCAGGGCATGGGGGCGGAGCCTTGCTGGGGGTTGTGGGAGTGAGGTCTGCTCTTCCTCTGTCATTCCCCTCTTGGCCATGCTCTATGAGGCCATGTGTCCCTGTCTTGATGTACTATTGCCTTTGGCCCAAGGCACTGGGGCCAGTGAATTATGGACTCCAAAACTGTGAGGAAAAATAAACCTTTGTTCTTTGTAAGTTGATTATCTTAAGGAATTTGTTACACTAATGTAAAGCTGACTGCCACCATGAGTAGTATTTAGCAGCCCTCTTCCTGGTGGAGATCAGAGTTCTTTCCATTTTGCCTTATTCTGAACACTGTGAAGTACATACTTGATGAACATCTCTCACTGTGTACTTGTCTATCTCCCAAGGGAAAATACTGAGGGATGAAATTGCTGAATTGAAGGACAGGACAGTAAAGCATTTAATTCTGTACCCTCTTCCCTTCGCATGCTCTAACCGTTGTCCCTTAAAGCCCATTTGCTGCGGGGCGTGGTGGTACATGCCTGTAATCCCAGTACTCAGGAGGCTGAGGCAGGAGGATCACCTCATGTTTGAGGCCAGTCTGGGCTCCATAATGAGTTCTAGGCAAGCCTGAACTACATAGGAGGACTTTGTCTCACAAAACAAAATAACCCCCACACCCCAAAATAAACTCATTTGCTTTTAGGTGAGAGGGCTATCTTATCACATATGTATTTCAGTAAAATGTACTCGTTGTCAAAAAATGTGATCATCTCAAGCCGGGCGTGGTGGTGCATGCCTATAATCCCAGAACTCTGGGAGGCTGAGGCAGGAGGATCACTGTGAGTTCAAGATCAGCCTGGGCTGCATAGTGAGTTCCAGGTCAGTCTCAACTACATAGTGAGAGACCCTGTCTCAAAACAAACAAACAAAAATCATCTGCAAAAAGAGGGTACAGGACCTGACAAAACTGCTAACCCAGAATTTAAAATGTTAAGAACAATTCTGTAATGATACACATGTATCTCACACACAGACATCCACACCTCCTTCCTCATCTGCTGAGATAGAA